AACACTCATGTGCGTCTAGCTCTGATAGCAAGTACAATACCGACGATCAGTTTGATTGTTGATCTCGATGATGTTCATCGTGTGCTCTACAGCAAGGTTGATGAAGGGACGGCGACTTGCACGAAAATAAGTTTATAGTGGTGGTCGACTTGCACAGCATCTACCGCACTCTCTCCTCCTCCCCTGCCTGAGCCGGGTGCCAAGACAGAGTCAAGAAGACAGCAGGCGGGGGAGGGCACAGGTGGACGGCACGGCCGAACCCGCACCTTGGCGCTCCACTCCACACCTCCTGGTCCACACAACAATTGATCAGGACTTCGGTGTCCTTGTAAATTCGCATATATTTTATAGAAAACAGGTACATGACGTCCTCTTCAAATTTCATGCTTGTGGAAAGGGTGTTTATCACTTTTGGAAAAGTCCTTAATTACGAGATTTTTTAAAGACTGGGACCCCATTTGTAAAGCATCGCCTCCGTCCAGTCATTAATGCGGCTTCTAAACTATGCAACGTGGTCAACGTCCACTGTTAAATTTTATGAACGCTATATGAAATCGTCTCAGTAACATGTACAAATGTCTGCTTTGTTGCACGGATAATATACAGCTCGTAGTTTGGAATGCAAGTGCTACGGCAAGTCAGGTTCGAAAGAGATTGCGAGCTTCAAAGGTATTTTAAATCGAAAGATCCCCTTTTTTCGAGCATTGAATTTATTAAAAGCGCGGCGTACTACCAGATGGGCACAAGAAATACTATTTTTGTGTTTGGCTTCTATAAAGTATATTTTAATATGTAAAGGCGTCAAAAATTAATGAGGAAGTTTGTGCTACTTAAGCAGTCATTTTACGGAGGGCAGCTCGTCCTGGCGTTGCTGAAATATCCCGGGACTGTGCTGCACAATAATTATTACTACAACCCTACTTAAGTAATTTTTTTCAAAATGAAAATCAGATCTCAGAACTTAAGTTAAACTTTTATGCGCTGCATGTAATGCCCCGGTCTTCAGTACATAGGAGGCAGGAGGCATCAGATGAAACCCTTCACCTGGTCATCTGTCGATGTAAAATGCCCGAGATGAGCGCCGAGCTACCTAGGCCTCCCAGACTTTTGTAAAGCATGCTGTTAGGCCTGCGAAATGAATTAACGCACTCGGAGGCTGTCTACTGAATGCCGAAGTAGCATATAGAGCTATCCTGTGCGGGTTGTAATATGGGCCTCTGGCCAGTACCCGTGATGTCGGTATGGTAAATAATGACGTAGTTGTATGCTACTTATTGTCTGCTAGTAGCCTGTAAATATTCCGTAGTAATTCCGCAGTAGCTGGTGTATATCAAACCGAACCTGAAAGTTCGCGAACTAATTGCCTCTAGAATTATATAAGGTAGGTTGTGACACTATTTATCACGCAGCATAGTCAAAGGATATTTGGCCACCCTCAGGGCACTGGCTTTTGAATGAACCCTCCGGCAGTCGACAAAAACTAAACTTTGTGAAAACTGACCACTTAAGGGGTATGAATCCTTCCCATTGATCTTCGATGTCCTTTATAAATTCAGATATATTTTGCAGAAAACATTCACGAAAATCTTCTGCCTTGAACTCATCTGGTAGAAACAACGTCCTTTACAAGTCTTTAACTTGAGGAAAGGGTATTTGTCGGTTTTAAAACAGTTCCTAATTACGAAACTTCTTAAGGTCGTGAAACACCTACTGGTAAATCATCGTTTCTGTCCATTTGCTAGTGCTGTTTGTGAGCGCTATATGAAATCTTCTTAAGAGCATATAGAAATGTATGATTTTCTTCACACGGATAACATACAGCCTGTAGTTCGGAAACTTTGAATGCATGTACAACGGCTGGTTGAGTTGAGAATTATTCGTGAGACTTCGAAAGAGGTCGAAAGACTTCCTTCCTTCAAGCATAGAATTTAAAGAAAACGTAATGTGTTACCAAATGGGCGCAAAAAAGCCCTATTTTGTGCATGAATTCAAAAAAATATGTGGTAACAATAGGGTGTAGGACCTCGAGTAGATGGCCACTCGGAAAAAATACATTAAAATTCAGTGTCCACTGTAAACCACTTATTGCGCATCGTACCCATTGTTTGAAATTTCCTCCCCTTCCTGACTAAATGTAGATTTCCAGCGGAGCCTTATTCAAAGGCCGTTATTTTTTTTAAAAATTGTTTTTTTTTGTTTATCTTTTAACAATCGTGCTCACTTTCGTTGCCAAATGGCGGCGCACGATAAGACTTTCGGCAGAAATTTATCTGTTTTCCGTGTCTTCTTGCTCTCCATCTTCTGTGTTGCCCCACCCATAAAACCCCCTCTACCACCATCCAACGTATGACACGGTTCACAAACTTGTTCAAGTTATTTGTGGGTCCTACACCCTATCGTTGTCAAATATATTTTAATATATAAGGACATCGAAAATTAATAGAAAAGACTACGCTTCTTAGTCATTTTTATGAAGTGCGAGCTTTGCGGGCGGTAGAAAATAAGATCGCTCAAAAGCCGGCATCCCGACGTTGCTGAAATACCCTGGTAATATGCTGCCCGACAATTAATATTACGACCCTACTCAAGTCATCTTTTCAAAGTCAAAAAATACTTCAGAATTTCAGTTAATATTTAATGAGATAGCACATCCACTGTATGTAATGTGTGCAGAGGTACCTCTGCTCTTCTGTACGTACGAAGTAGGAATTCGATACGCCCCAGGCATCAAATTAGACGCTGTAGACGCCCTTCAACTGGTCATGTGTCGACGTAAAATGTCAAGTATGAGCGCCCGGTTTACCTAGGTCACTCGCACTCATATAAAACAGGTTTTCAATCGTGTGAGACGGATTAGTGTACTTAGACGCTGCCTACTGAATCCAGCGCATCCATAATGCTCAGTCGACAGATCCTGCGGCTAGCACACCATCAGCCCAACCCAAATAGGCAAAAATGTCCAGTCTGCAGAGGGGTGCTCTTCAAGGGAAAGCGTTGTAAAGGCTAGTCAAGAACTCACTCAAACGTCCGCTTTTGAGCCCTGGCGTAGTCGTCGTTGGGGTCCAGGCCATCCAGAGCCTTTGAAAAACTCCTCTGAGCGGATTCCAAATCACCAAACTAATGAAGGTGAAAATAGGCTTGGTGGAACTCATGTTCACGAAGTTTAGCAAAGTAAGCGAGTAAAACAAGGGGGTTGAGCCGCCGCACCGGCAGGACATCAGTCTTCGAGAAGTAAGTGCTGGATATCTCACAAAGCGGCAATTCAATGCAGGCTGTATTTCGTACGCGGGCATTCAGCCCTCTCCACACTAATATTAGTATTATATCATTGCTACTGACATGATGTTAGTAGTGCACTTGTGATGGCGTTATGCTCATGCGCCTTGCAACACTTGCCACGTGCCAGTGTTCAAAAAGTGAGTATTGGGCCTCACAGAGAAAGGCTGTTACTACAAGGGTTACAACTAGGAGTCACTGCAGACCAGGGGGCGCAAGTATCTCGTTAGGTGGCAACCCCCTAAAACCAGGAATTAAACGGAGACTCTGTTCTGCTGCGCTTGCCTATAGAAGTATTCAATACCTGCATAGGTAGCAGGATATACCGTAGTTGTCAGCACAGGTACTATCTAAAAGCCCAGACACGTGTTTCGCCGATATTCTGTCGCAGCATGACACTGGAGTATCTACCAGAAAAGCATACAGGGAATACTGGGGGACCCATGGATGAGCCGAACCCCTCGCAGCTGAGGTAGAATATCGGCGAAATGCAGGTGTCTGGACTTTTAGCTAATACCAGTGCTGTCAAGTATGGTATATCGTGCTGCCTGGGAATAAGACTACTGGCAGGCAGAAATCTTCATCGAAACAAACACGTAGTCAGAGCTGCCGGTTCGACCGTTAGTCGGATGCCTGCAAGAGATGGAGAGAAGGTTACACGGGGATGAAGTTGGCAGCAGAAAGGACACACCACGTCTAGCGACCGCACACTTCAGATAATGCCTAGCGTGAGAGAGAGAGGGCGGTTGAGCCTACAACGACCCCCCGGGGGTGGGTTACATACCCGGAGGTAAAGGCGGCCAAGCAGAGCATAAAGAGGCCGGTGTTCGTTGAGGGGTCGCAGTTGTTCAATCATCAGCTCCGCGGTCTCAATGGCTGAGGGGTAATCGTGATCGGAGAGGTAGATGTTGAGGCAGCAGGCGAGAATGCGACACTCGCGTCGACGCCAGAGGTGAAGGGAACCTTTGTGAGAAAAAGCGGAAACATTGCCGCAGATTGAGAGAGTGCAGGATTTGTATGAAAGAGAAATGCAATTCATGAGACGGAGAGGGTTGGCTCAGATTGGCTTGCGCTCCCCCTTTTGACCTAGGGTTTGTCTGATGGGCCCACACAGCAGAGCAGTCGTACAGAATAACAGCCAGAATCCCTGGACTGCAGAACAGTCTAATAGCTTTGGAGTTTATAGTGCTGGCAGGTGTTAAAGATGACCTCAGATGAAGTCGTAAGCCATCATGTGTCAGGTTTGAAATAGAAGTTTCCGAATCGAGTGGGATAAAGGAGCGTGGATCATGCACTAAATTCCAGAGGGGTTCTTATTCTTGTGTCCAGTGACGCAATTCTGGAATCCTAAACTGGTGTGCCGGGGGCGAGGACGGAGAGTGAGGAAGATAGAAGCCTGTTGTTCTAATTAATAAAAGTGTCCAACGAAAAACTCATTCAATTACAACACCCAAAATACAAGAGAAGGCGCATCTCCTGATTCCCGGGTTCGGAAATCAACGCAAATTCTCATCTTCCTACAGGAGTGCGCAGACTGTCACCGCTCCTCCATCCAGCATAATTACCGCACACCTCTGTCTTTTTCACAAAAATAAATGTGACTCGCTTGAATCTACCACGACGCTACGGGCTTGGAGGGCAACCAACTGACGGGATAAGTCGATCCATTTAAGGACTGAGAGTCAGGCTGAAATGGCTCCTTCTGAATGTGGCCTGGGTGCGTGTGCAGCAGGCGTAGATGGCGCCCGAGTCTACCTCCGGTGGTCTTGATAGTGTCTTTCCGTCAAAGTCAGGTGATCGAAAGAAGAGCGAGTGCGGTAGGTGCTGCGCAAGTCTGTCTCACTATAAAATGATTGGCGTGCAAGTCATAAGTACTGCGCCCACTTCGTAGGACACAGGGTGCACGTAGTTGTCGTCGCCGTCCTCCGCGACGATCAAACTGTCCGCCCCGTGAGGTCGCCATTGAGCGAGCCACAGCTCAGGCAGCCTTTTGGTCTATCGCGCGCTGGAGGGCGCAGCCATTGCAGTGCAGCTTCTGTAGCGGCCCCTCCATTCCCCCTTTTTTTCTCCGGCTCTGTTTTGTCGAACGATGGCCGCGACAGCTGTTGACACACGGCCACCCCGCCGGCTGACACTGGGACAACTTCGGTCCAACTGCGGTGACTCTCGGCTGACCTCACAAACTTTCATCACCTCACGCACGTCGAACGCTCTGGCTTGATACCCGGTGAGGCCTTGTGAGCATGCGTCCGCTATTTCTCCCTAATTTGTCCAACCACACGACCAACACTCGGCCAGTCATCCCCTCCTGCTGACCCAGACACTCGCTCTCGCGTAAACAACACACCGCGACTAACACTCTCCGTGAACGGACGACTATCTCTGTCGCAAGCAAACAGCCAACTTACGGCAAACTGCCCTGTGTATAGAATAAACTAGTCCCCGCAGTTCCCTGATTTATGACATTAGACGAAACGAACTTATTGTGCGTGGTTTAAGTTGATCTCACATCCTTGATCGTCACACTTCCTACTCGGAAACAACGACATCCCCATTCCACCAAATTCTCCCGGTTCAGAGCACGTGCAAGGACGTTGGTTAATGCCTCCGTACCTCCGACCGTCTCTCCATCAAAGTCAGGTGATTGAAACGGAGTGCGGTAGGTGCTGTGCAAGTCTACCTCACTTCGTGGACGTAGTTGTCGTCGTCGTCGTCCGCGACGATCGAACTGCCAGTTCCGAGCAGCTGCCCTTAAGCGAGCCACGGTTCAGGCGGCCTTTTGGTCTACTAGACGGCTATAGTCCGCGTACTGTCGCTGGCGTCGCCGAAGGACGCTGGCACTGCGGTGGCAGTATCGGCACCGCCCAGTTTAGAGCACGTTCAAGGACGTCGGCTAATGCCTTGTTGGTTCGTGTAAGTGTGCTAGGCAAGCTATCTGAAATAAGTGTGAATGTGGAGGGGAGGGGTTTGTTGATAAGGAGTAGAAGCGATCGCTGGAACAAGAGCTATATTCGCTGACGTTTCGGACTCTCACTTGGACCCATCATCAGAGGGGTTTGTGCAAAATCACAGACAAGTCCAAGGAAATGGGAATGAGAGAACTCACTCTGCTTGTATTCATCACTGGGACAGGTAATGGTGCCGTCCTCGGTGTAACCGTTCTCGAGGTTACTTATTAACTAAAATGGAAAAAGAAGTGAATTAGTGGCGATGGTGGTTCGTTCCTTATTTAGGGGGAGACTAAACCAAGCAATGAAGACCCGAGGACGACGCAATGGCTCCTTGCTACTGTACAAATACATCCTCCTCCGACACGAACCATGCATGACTGACGATGCCCATCGTGTTCTTCACAACAGGGTGACAGCAGGGACGGTGACTTGAGCGTGAGTTGCAGTAGACTTGTCCGGCGTCTATCGCACTCTCCCCCCCCCCCCAACCTGAGCCCGGTGTCAAGACACAGTCAAGATGACCGAAGGCGGGGAGGACGCAGGCGGATGGTGCGACCGAACCTGCACCTGGGCGCTCCCCTCCACACACCCAGGTCCACAACGTCCACTGACCAGGATTTTAAACAAGAAAAAGGGGAGGGTTCAGACACCAACTGGTGTGACATGGGCCTGTACCTGGTACCGCTGTCACACCCCTAATGTAAACATTTGTGATGGGTGCGAATTACCGACAACGCATGTGGAAATCCCATCTGGCCCGTGTGTTAATCCAGCGCATCTACTGAGTGACCCGTTTAGGCGGAGAGGGGGGGAGGGTAAAATACGGAACACAAAACGGTGGGAACGGCTACCCATCGTTCGCCGACTTGGTACTAGTTCGTGAGTTCTAGGAGAAAGGACCTTGAGGAACGGAGGTGAACAGACTAGAAGGAGACACGATCGCTGGAATAAGCGTCTTATTCACGTAAATGTCTACCGAAAGAGTGTACAAATGAGTATTTTCATGCATGTTTTCCATGAAATGTAATTGAATTTTCAAGGGCATCTAAACTCAATGAGATAATTGCATGCTACTTAAGCAGTCATTTTTGCAGAGTATCGTTCTTGCATGCAGTCGGAAAAAGGTTTTTTCGAAAGAAGGCACCCTGACGTAACTGGATCATTATAGAATTATGCTGGACGGTGATTAGTTTTACAACGATACTTAATTAATCTTTTCGACACGAGAACGCACTTCGAAATTTCGGCCGGCATTTCATGAGTTAACCCACCTACTGCATGTAAGTGCAGTCCTTTCAACCTCGAAGAAAATGGCAGGTTAAGGCGAACATCGAAAGCTGTTTACAATCGGTAAACGGTCCTCAGACTCAACATGGGAAGGGCGTCGGAAACTGCTGAAGGACAAGCACAATGACAGCGTTCGGAACATCTGGTCGCCGGAGACCAGCTGCGCTGGACAGTTTGTTGAAAATATGGCTTTTTGCAGTCCTTGGGCTCGCGGTTAGACGCCTGCACCAAGTTCCAGGGTTGTGCTAGACGGCGATTGAAAGCCTCCTTGTTTGCAGCCAACATTCAAGAAGCCTTAATACCGCTATGACCTGTGAACCTTTTACAGGTAACTGACTTGCCAGGTCGGTGCGCAGTCCTGCCACTGATAATCAGTCGAACTGCAGTCTGTGACATCCCTGGTGTCAATTTCTATTATTTTGTTTTGTTTGCTACTAACTGTTTGTTAGTAACCAGCCTTTACCCATAGCACCCTGCCTTTGTCTCTGTACCCCTATTCGTCGGTTCTCGTCATTCTTTGTTCTTTGTCCATTGTCTATTGCACTTTGTCTGAGCCCCAAGGTTCGTGAGCGTCTACTATGACATGATCAGCAAACCATGACCCCCGCAGCCTGGCGTGCGCTGGCAGTTCTCTGGCGTCTGGTTCTCTAGCGGTAGATGTGCTTGCGCTACCGCTGGGTATACAGGTCGTTGGCATGGCTTCCCAGTCATCCGCCTCCTTTCCGTCGTTGTCATTGCTGCTGTTGTTGGTCAAAACCCTTGTCAAGTGTTTGTTGTAGACCAGGGGGTGTGGTGTGGAGCGCCAAGGTGCGGGTTCGGCCGCGCCATCCACCTGTGCCCTCCCTCGGCCCCCTGCCTTTTTGACTCTGTCTTGACACCCGGTCCAGGGGAGGAGCAGGGGAGGAGAGGGTGAGTTAGATGCTTCGCAAGTCCACTCTCACTAAAAACTAGTTCACCGTGCCTGCTTCATCCTGTTGTGGAGCACACGGTGGACATTGACGGGTAGGACGGCCGAACTATCCCTAGAGAATCTGCTTTTTTTGCAGCTAACCCCTACCGAAGACTGTCTCACTATGTCCATCGAGAAGTTGACATCTGAGCTAACGGGTTGGCTTTATCCTCCCTTGATCTGCTGCCAAGCGGATCACGACAGTGTTAAATTACTGAGCGAGCAGTTTCCGTGCGGGGAGCTGAAGGACAGGTAAAGTCGAAAGACACAATAGAGGACTGTAAGGTGTCGGAGGAATGCTGGATAACTGAGTGCCTCACCCGACATACAACGGCCGAAAGGTAGTACAGACGATCGAGAGCCTCCGACTTTCGATCCAGAAGACGTGGCAACTCGGCATAGAGCAGTCGTAAGGAGAAGGGGATGATGGAACCTAGGAGACAGTGGAGGAAGGAAAGACAGTATGATATCTGTCAAGATTGTCAAAGTCTATAATGACGGTTAAAGCTCCAGAAAAAGGCCCCCGTTTATCTGATGCTTCTGATCTACTTTCGAGTCAACATGGGACGACAGTTAAACCGTCGTGCCTAACGATGTCCCCCTTGTGCTCCACACCAAGGTGGAGCAGGCACGGTGACTTCCGTGCGAATTTGTTTGTACTGAGTAGACTTGCGCAGCATCTACAGCACTCTCTCCTCATTCCCTGCCTGAGCCCGGTGTCAGGACATAGTCAAGAAGACTAGACGTGGGAGGTGGGAACAGGTGGCTTGCGCGGCCGGGCCCACACCTAAACGTACCACCACACCCCTTGGTCCATAACAAACAGTGGCCTGGATTCCAACCTACAATAACAACACCCCAACAGGGGCCAGAAAGACGAGGACGACTGGGCATCTTTGCTCACGACCTGTATTCCCAGCGGGAGCGTAAGCACATCTACCGGCAGGGAACCAGGTGCCGGATAACTGCCAGCGCATACGAGGCTGCGAGGGCCACAGTTTGCTGATACTGCCATAGCAGACGCTTACAGACCCTTGTGCACAATATGAGACAATATGAGGTAAAAGCTACTATTACATGATAGTACACTACTAGTAGTACTACTTGTTTGTAGAGCGGGCACTACGCGGTTACTGCGCAAGAGTTGATGGCCTTTAACCCAAACTTGCACTACAATTTCGAGCTGACCCTAAGAAATCATGTCGCGCGTACTTCCGTCAATAATTTGCGAGATCATTTACTTCAAACGTAAATCGGGAGTGACCTCGGTGAGAGCACAGTAAAAACCACCGTTGAGCATACATACAGTAGATGGTTTAACTGACAAAATGTTGCGATCGAAATTTAATTGAGCAGTATACCATGCATTTAGTGTTGTTTTGGTTTGTTGAGCTGAGTTGAGGCGCAAAGAGCTACCTACTAAAAAAAGAATTCACTTCAACTCTGTCTTATGAAAGACAAACAGGTCAGACTTGGGCAAAATGTGACCTATCTAGGTATCTACGCTACTGGAACTCGCAGGTGAAAACCTCGTGTTTATGTGCATTGTGCTATAAACGAACATTAATGTAAACAGGAAAAATTCGAAAGCAATTTTTTTCTCAAAACGGAGGATTGGATTTTGCGTCCATGAAAATCAGGCTAAGGCGGATACGAAAAATTACATTGTTTCCTAGAAAAGAAGGGCGGGTTCGGCTTTAAAAATTCTGTTGTGCGAATTTGGAGCGTTTTGTTTCATTAATGACAGAACTGTACCCAGAAACGGTCTACAAGTATGCAAGATTACGATTTTATTCGCCGTACACTAAAAAGTATCTTTGTGTGCCCACTGAGACCATTCAGATGTTCTCTATGAACGCGAATGAGAAAAGGATGTATGAATTCGAACTTTACCAGAAAAAGGCCACGATCAGGCCGTTTTAAAGTAGGAAAGTTATTAGAAAACACTTTGCTCACTAAGGAATATATTGATTATAAGCCCTCATTCTGAAACAGTACTTACATTCTAGAAAGGCCTAATAAGTTGACTCAGATGGGCATGTGTGGAAAGAAATTTCAAAAAGAGCGTACTGCGTCAATGACAACCTTCGACAACTGTCGACAGTTGATAGTTTGCGTGACTATGAAATTCGAAGAGCGGCCAGTCTGGCAATCAACTACAGATATCATCGACGGCAAGGTTTCCGCCGATACTGTGAAGGATATCTTCGGTTAAAACTGCGTCCACTGAAGACAAATGGATACCATAATGGTAGAGGGACGCTCACCGATCGTTCTTGCGGAACTCACTCGTCCCGTTGTGCCTAACGGACTCTCTCTCTCTCTCTCTCTCGAGTTCAACCCGCAGTCGCACAGCAGTGCATTAGCCCGTGGCCCAGCGGTTAGAGGCGTGAACTTCTAACTAACAGGTCGCGAGTTCGAGCCTCGGGTGTTGCACACTTCGGGCTTGGGTATGGCTGGCTGACGACGGCTAATAAGCCTGAAATGGCCATTCCAGTCTCCCTTGTCTTTGTCGGTAATATTATTCAGTCCACTATAGACATGTTGACCATCTACATGTCTGAGAGACTTCCTGTTGTGTTAAATGCAAATGGACAGGACGATGTCCTGTGTGGCGCGCAGACGCTGTGACTTTGTCCCGCCACCGGCTCCAAGCGGGCCATGGTGGAGTCAGTTTGGCGAATGATGCGCAAGCCTGCGCAGAACCAAATATTTCAGTCATAAATGCTAGCAAAATAAGGAGCAGACGGTGGGAAGAAAACTCACCCTTGCGATTGGGATAGAGAGTAGGGAAGTATTCGAAGTAAATGTCGGGGGAATCGAGGTTAGAGAAGGCAGCAAACTCCCTCTCCATCAGTTCGTACTGCTTGGTTTGTTTCAGGAGACCGAATCGTAGAAGCCAGAGCTAGGAGAGAATAAAAGATAAGGGAGACTGGAGTGGCCATTTACGGCTTATTAGCCGTCGTCAGCCAGTCATAGCCAACCTCGAAATGTGCAACTCCCGAGGTTCAAACTCGCGACCTGTTGGTTAGAAGTCCAGCTTCTTAACCATTGAACCACGGGTTTGTTGTCCTGTCGGTTGGGATCTGGTATAAACAGATCGCGCTACGGACCTCACTCGTCCCGTTTTGCCTTAAGGGCTCTCTCCCGAGCCCAATCAGCAGCCGCACAGCGGCGCGTGATATAGGCAGAACAGCGTTGCCGAAACATTATAGACGGACTATTTTGCACATACCACTTTCCCATATGATGGCAATTTAAGTTTAAATTCTTTTTTAATAAATCTAATACACGAACCACCGTTGAAAACAAGAGAACTGATAGAAGCGAACAGGCGAGTTCCAGACAGCAGTTCAGAAGATAAAGATGCGATCACTGGAACAAGAAGTCTATTGGCCTGACGTGCCGGATTCCCACTCGAATCCATCACCAGAGACATTCGCAGATACAGGTGATGGTGGCACCAGGAGTGCAGTATTTATAGCACGTGCCTGCCGTGGACCGTATGCGCACTGCAATTAACAGTTCTCGCAATCATCGCTGGGGTCGTAATTGATGCGGCGGTGGCTTGTCGGTCCGAGTCGTTAATGGCCGTGATTTCGTCACCCGTGCTGGATGCTGGTGTGACGATTGCTCGGCAAACTGGCTCACTGTCACTGTGATAATTGCTCGCCCGCGCCCTCCCCACGTGACTGATGCCCCTGCCCAGGGAAAATCGCAGTACGGAATATGGTACCGGGAGGATTTCGGCCTCTTGAAATTTGAAAATATGGCCGGGTCCCGTTTACCGGATCTGGTGTAGTTGCGGACAAAACAACTATGTCGGAGACACTGGGAGATTACTCGGTACGCGAATTGCCGAGCACGCAGCAGCAGTGAGGCGGGGAGACGCTAACTCTCAAGTGGCGGCGCACTCGACGGGACCCGGCCATATTTTCAAATTTCAAGAAGCCGAAATCCTCGCATGGGGTGACAATCGCGTTAGCCACGAGCTGATTGAGTCATGGTTCTCAGGCCCGCAATCCATCAACAAGCGCAATGACCTTCCCGTACAATATTCCGTGCTGAGATTTTCCCTGGACAGGGGAATTAGTCACGTGGGGGGGGGGGGGGGGGGGGGGGG